CTCACAAGAAAGTGATCGTGAGCCGCAATCTCCTTAATCTCAATTTTTAGAACCATTAGCATTGGGCTTTTCAGATTCATGACCACTCTGTAACCGTAAGTATCAATACCAAGTCATTTTAGGAAGTGCAGTAACACTTCGGAAGCAGTTCGATCTGCTGATGGGTGCGTACCGTATTGGCGACGTAAGGGAGGTGAATCGAAAGTACTACAATCGCGATGTGTGCCGCCTCTACTTATCTAGCCTTTGGCCTCACGAACTCTTCCAATTAACGGTATTCTCCTGATTGATTCCTTAATTTTTTTTAATCTTTTCTTTATGATTCGTTAATTGTTAAACGATTCATATCCATCTCTTTCCTTTTGAACCCTAGTTTATGCATTTGAATTGCTTATCTGTGTTTGGTTTCTGAGGAATTTGGTGTTTTAGAAGCAGGAGAATTATAGAAAGAGAGATTGGTTTAGTTGGGGTGAGTGTGGGAGCAACACATCATCTGGTTTTTGTTACGCCCTAACTCCTAATTAAGAAGAGATGAATTGAAAGTTGTGTCATTTGTTTTATTGTAAAAAATGGGATTCTGAGATACAGGGAGAGAGGAAAGTTGCTGAATTAGTGGTAAGCTTGAATTACATGTATCTATGAAGACTGCTACTGGAAGCATTTTGAAAATGGTTTTTAATGAAATATAAAGAACAAGAGAAAAGAAGTGGTAGTTGTTCATGAATAGCATAAGTATGTTATTATTAGCTATTTTTGTGTTAGTTTGATAACCTATTATCTGTATAAATTAGAACAAGGGTCATGGATATAAGTCTTCTATTTTATCATGGATATATTTGGAAGAGATACAAATTCAAATGATAGGGATGTCATTTCTGTCTACTTTCAATTGCTTATTCTGGTTGCCTGTGAGGTGTCATATAGAAAATAGTGCTATAGCATTAAATTCTCTATTTATCACAGGTATGTAAAATGGAAGACAAATAAACTAGGTATTTTTGGTTGTGATCCATGTTTCTTTATACATTTAATTGGTTTCTCCTTTACAATCCTATTTTTTATTGTCAACTGGTAAGATATGTATCATTTTATGCGCTGAGGAAGGTATTTTGGTGACTTTCTTAGGCAGATAATATATGCTTTTGTAGTAGTCATAGGTATCAATGTTCTTATGTGGTAAACTCTTATTGTTCAACTTTAGCTTTTGGTCACATTTGAGTTGCAGATACTTGTTTATGGTTTTCTCTGCAAGCTATTGAGACTTTGGGATTACTAATTTCAAAATTGTTGTTTCCTCTTGTTTTCTTTTAAAGTTATTGAGACTTTAGGATTTTTGATGTCAATCTTGTGTTTTCTCTTGTTCAGAAAATGGATATGGGGCCATGTCCAAAAGTCCACTCTTTGCAACTGAGGAGAGAGTATCCTTATATTACTCACAATGCTGGATGGGTGCTTTTTTAGTAGTAGGTACTTTATGTTTGTTTTTCAAAAGTAATGTCTCTGCTGATGATATGCCTTTGCTATTCACTTTTAGTAGTTTCTGTATTTCTACATTTGTGGTTGCTTAACCTTTCTTAGATATGAAGAAGCTAAGGCAAAAGGCATCGATAGTTATGATAGAGAGTTGGAAGATGCTATTGACAGGCTCATTGTCGAGTGTGATAGGAAAATTGGTAGAGCTCTCAAGCATCTTGAAGATGAGGATGCAAAGGCCACTATTGCTATATCAGTCTCTGAAGTTACTCAGGTTTTGGATAAGTCTTAATTTTATCTGTCTGACCTTTCTTGCACTTGGGACTTACAGATTTATTTATTTTCTATGTTGATGTTACAGGCACCAGAAGTACTAGAGCTTTCAAAGCAAATTAAGAAGAAATTGAAAGAAGTTGATCAATATGGTATCATATTTTTGCACTAG